AACATCTGAACATGTTTTGTTTGCCTGATTCTGTCTGCCATCTCTTGCCATTTAGGACAAAGCCACAAAGTTTACAACTGCATTACAACACACCAATGTCCTAAGTTGCTCTCTGATGGTCAATAGAATGCAAAACATCCAAAGACAATAAAACACCTTTAGTTTTGGTTACAAGCAATTTCTATAGTGTTTTGCTTCACATCAAACATCTGAAAGACTGCAAGATCAATTTTCAACATTAGTTTTGCTTATGCTGGTTAGCAGCAAATGTGTTAAGGAGCACTTACTGTGTACCAGGGACAAAGATAAACTTGTTACATATCCACCATATGTTAAGTTGCTTTCTATTACCCCTACAGTGCAGAGCAAAACTGCCCCACAGGATTTCAAAGGCAGTAAATCATCAAGAGGACTGCTTTATCTCCCAGCTAAGGAAGGAGTGACCAGTGTGTTGGAACTGCCTACCTTTCAGTTAACAGCCAAAGACTTAGCACTGCACCACTACTGCTCCTTTCCTATCACATAGATAGTGGCAACTTTAAACTAAATCTGAAGTTTAGGTATTTAAACTGGAAGCTCACACTCCAATACATAGCTTTCTCCTATATACAAAAAGAGGTAAGTTGGTGCATCCAACAAAAGATCAAATAAAAGACCGCAAAATTAGAATTTGGCACCTCCTCGAAAGTAACCATTTTTTATCAAAAGTAAACTGTTTTTAAAAGTCAAGTCCTACTACTTTCAGAAACCATTACTGTTACTTAATCGACTTTGACTTGGCACTAGAAAACACTAATAGTGAAGAAATCAAGCTTGATTCATTGGTATGCTAATGCCAGAATAATTTGTACAGTTTACTGAGCCTCTAGGAGTCAGCGTCCCCAAAATTTTAAAGCTAAACGCTGTAGCACAAAACACACCAGACTACATAAAAGCTCTTTTTCAAAAAGCCAAGTAACAATCACTCTTGATTATTAAAAAATGCTAGCATTTTTAAGAGACCAAAAATTATAAAATAGCTCAGCCTAAGTTTGCCACAGCCTATCTACGTCCATTTTTTTCCCAGCTTATCGTAACTCCTTCGTATTCACACCACATCATTCCAAACAACTATTCGTTACCTCTTTTGTCACAAATCTTAAGCAAGTCATTCCTTAAATCCACTTGACCATCAGTTCTAAATGCTCACTCTAATGATAAGGTCCTTAACGCCCCACTCTGTCCCAGCCTATTTCTATTAGAGTCTTTTACGTGATCATACTGTCCCAAGCTATTTCTATTCACTCAAATCTCCCAGTTTTCTCCTGTATCACCACGCTCCAAACTCACAAGCCATCGTACAAACCCAACATATTACACCGTATCCCGCACTCAGTGGTATCAATATACAAAACCTCCTTTTATAAGTATTTCGTATTTTCGTAACAAGTCTCAATATGGTAACGTCTCATTACCAAGCTCTTTGCTAAGCGCAATTCCAGGCAAGAGTCACACCCTCTTCAGCCTGATTCTCACGACCCTAAAACCCCACCTCCTTATCACGCCCTCCCGGGCTTCAGATACCAACCTAAACACCACGCCCCAAATCCGTCACGCCCTCCGGATCTTTCAGGGGTCTTACACACACGCCTAATCTGACCCCCATGAAGACTTCTGAAGTCCTAACGCCTCCCAACCACCCCAACGGCCCCGCCCACGGCCTCATACCGAGCAGCAGCAGCTTTACTTCTTTGGCCGCTTTCTCCCCGTCCTCTCGTAAGTTGCGGTCGATCATCTTGCTCCTTTCCACCGCCGCCTTGTCTTCGGCGCTCAACGTGCAGCCCATGGCGGCGGCGGGAGAGGGAACCAAGTCCGAGCTCACTCACACACCAAGACAACTACTGTTCCAGCGGCTAACACAGCGTCTACTACTGGGCGGCGTCCCTCTCCGTCAGCTCCCGGAGCGCCCGAAAGAACCGGATATCCTGTGTCTACGACACTTCCGGTGACGCCCTACGGCCGTTACCTCTCAAATCACTCCAGCCCCTGGAGAGGAGGTGCGACCGAAAGCGGAAGTACGGAAGGGGGGGGCCGGTGGGATTGGGTGGTGATTAAGAGGCGCTTGTGAGGCTCTGTGGAACTGGTCGTGCTCCTGCCCATCTTAGTATTACTCTTTTCTCTTTCTACATTATCTGAGTAAATGTAGGGAAACCGCAGCCAGCTCATAGCTTTCCTCGGATTACTTAGGCAGGTTTGGCCAGAGGTGCGAGATTCTTAAGAGCCGGTCCGCACGGGAGGCTCCACTGTGTGTGAGTCGGTGAACCTTTGATTAAGGACCAGGGACACCCAGGGCCCCTACCCAAGTGTGGGACACTTTCTGCTGTGGTCTTCTCCGTTAGAGCATAGGATTAGAAACAGACCACCCGGCCATGCCTCACAGATGACATCCAACACTAACTGAACTAACGATCCCTTTACCTTTTCTAACCCGCTATCTTCTGCTTTCAAAAATGTATTTTGGGCCTTGTGCCATTACGTACCAATTTCTGTGGACTTGAGAGCTGCCCATCTGTTACCAATTATTTGCAATCGTTAACACAGACCCTTTAACCTGAAAAGCGTACAGTTCCTCCTCCGTAAAACATCCGTGGCTCTAACAAGGGCCTTAGGACTTGTTACCAAAGTTAGTCAACCTCCGTCCCACCTTCCAAAACAAATCAGTACATCTGTGAATGTCCTAAATTTATTGTGTAGTATAACACAAAATGGACAATTTGTGTAACATTAACTTCTCGGCTCTACTGTCATTGGGAAATTAGTGAATCCCTGTGTAAGCCCCCAAGTGGTACTTTTTCATTGATAATCCTAAGTCCTAGATGAAAGCTTTGACTTCCTTTACTACCAAATGCTCCACACATAGCTCTCACTCTTCATTCTAGCGGGGGAAAAAACTCTTGTGGCCACCAAAATCTTGTTCTTTGATTACAAATGATTCGATTCAATTACTCTAACAGTCAAAACCTTACATCTTAAGATTCCCAAAAGAAAAATCTATGTGATAATTTATTATTAATGAGAGAAATTTCTTGAGAGCCATGTTAATCGAAAGCACCAAAACTCATCAAAACCAATTCTTCAGGGTGTGAAGGGACACTCACTCCTTCTCAAGTGACTCTTAAGATAATCATAATATATCTGGGGGAAAAGGGCAAAAGGAAATGAAATGGGGGGGAACTCAATATTTATTGAGTACCTATACCAGGTTCAGCTAGGTTCTTCTATGTGTTAAATCTTTTAATCCTCACAACAACCCTGTGAGGTAGGTGATATTATCCCCATTTTTACAGATGAGGAAATAAGCTTAGAGAAATTAGGCAGCTTTCCCAAATTTGCCAAGATATCCCTTTTCTACCATATTCCTCTAGACTGTTGCCTCTTGAGACCTGGTAACAGTCTAAAGTTTTCATCCAAGATTGAGAGTTTCCCCAACACTCCTAGAATTGGGTGCGGGGAAGTAAGTGATAGAAAGGTTACTCCAACTTAATGTTCCTTGTACACTCTGAAGTTTAGTTTTGTCCAGGAACAAACGATTCAAAGCTAAAGATTTCTTATCAAACTTTAACAAAGTCATCTTGGTGCATAGGCAACTCCTGGAAGGTGCTCATGGCAGAAATTGTTGAGAAAATTCTCAGCATAATAGAAGAGAAATTTTTATTCCCTTCATGGTGCACTCAGGGCCAAATAAATGACAGTCAACCCATTTATGTCAAACATGTAACACTAATGAGATCACAGTGTCAGAAAATTTCCAGCCTGAATTAGAGACCCTTCCACTTAAAACTTTCTACTTTGATGTATGTGAAAGAAAAGTTGGAGGGTTAAGTCAAAGGGTAAAATAAATTAGCAAAATGGCTGCCAGGCAATCTTTAATTCCGCCACCGATTCTCACCCCACACATGCTTTTCCTACTCCGACTGGACACATACTGCCATCTGCTGGCAATGCTTAGGATCTACTAACTGACCACTGCTGTTAGGAAGCAGCTTATTTCCCTCATTAAGGACAAAGATGCCTCAGTATGTATCTTGAAATGGAGGAAGAAGAGTACAGACATATTTCTCAATCACAAAGGACTAAAGGACTGTTCTCACTGTATACACTATGTTTTTAAGGTATTTTCGCAGTGTAATAGGCACTAGATGAATAATAAGTAGTAGGAAGAGAAACTTGAAAATATTTCTAGGTAAAGGAGAAGAAAGCTGTGTTTGCCAAATTTCATTTCAGAAGTAATTTTTACATTAGACAGTTTTCTTGTAGAGCTCTACCCTTTCCACAATCTTCAGGAAGCCTCAGTGTAGATATATTTCTGCCATGTACTGAATTCTCATAACTGGGTATATTTTCAATATATTTTTTCCAAATGATTTGTATGACGCTTTATCAGTGGTTAGTGCTCTGTAAAAGTACAAAGTATCTAATCAAATTAGACTATGAACTTCTTGAAATGAGTAACCACACATCCTTTGTGTGGGTCCCAGAGAACAGGGGCTGTTTAACTAGTTTACACTGAATTGAACTGAAGAAGTCATTGTTGATATCAATATAATGTTTCATAATAAAATTATTTATTGACTGTTCAAAGGGAAAACTATCCCAAGCCCAACAGCCCATTTTCCCTTCGGAATGAGCCAGGCGTTTGCTCAAATGCAGATCACGCCTCTCCCTGGTCCTGCCTTGACACTTGTGTATCACCTGATGCTATTGGAGGAAGTGGGACAGACAGTCCCAAGGGTGTGTTCTGTCAAGTTTGCTATTATTCCCCCTCCCTTGAAAATTTGGTTGGTGCATACATTGGACAAGTCTCAATCAGTGAATAGTTGAGCCCAGCTCATGCCCTCTCTCCAACCCAGGGCTGCAAATAAGAGAGAAATTTAAGTCTGTCACTGAAGCTAATTTTGAAAGCGATGAATGGGAGTAAAGAGACATTTAGTGGACCATGGAAATCCCACCTTTCCCGTGCCCAACCTTGTACCCGATTGTCCAGGGGGCTGGAGGTGGGTCACTGCCATGAGGCGAGAGATCAGGGAGGCCAGTCCTGGAAGGAAAAGATTATCAATATTATTAATCAGAGTGACTACCTGGCCTCTCCTTACCCAGTTACCTTAGTAAGTCACATGCTTACCACCACCCTCAGCCATCTCCCAATATTTCCAGTTTTTCATCCTAAAAGGGAGAGAAGTCCATCCTATATTATCTTTGCCTCTTCTGAGATCAGACCCCAAGTTCAATCTCCCATGTGTAGGAGAGACAGGGAGGTTGAGCAGAAGGGCTGCACTAGAAGAGTGGGAGCAAAGAGAGCTGCAGTCAGCTTTCCTGTCTCCTCTCTGTACCCTGAGTGCTCATTTTCTTGCTTCTGGCCAAAACTCATAACTGCAGCAGGAAGGAGTATACCCAGCTCACCTGCTTGCTTTAAGTAATTTCACTTATAAAACTAGAAATACATCTATTAACTCAAATGGAAACACTTGGCTGTTCTTTCGGAACCCAGCAAGAAGGAGCCCTGGTGGTCCACACTCAACTACTAAATGAGAGGCTAGCAGTTAGAAACCACCCACCATTCCATGGGAGAGCAAAGGGGCCGTCTGCTTCTGTAAAGATGTGCTGCCTCAGAAACCCTGTGGGGCACTTTTCTATCCTAAAGGGCTGTACTGACTTGGTATTGACTTGATGGTTATGGGTTTAGTGTTGTTTTTAAGCCTAGCAAGGAAATGAAAAGACACTGGTCCTTTTCTTACCTCACTTGGATGCAATTACTACCCTAGCCAACTGGAAAATAAAATATCCAAAATGACCCCAGAACAGCTCCAGACCAGACCTACTAACCATATCCTCCAACTTCTACCCTGAGGGGTCCCCTGCTTCTTGCGGCATGGAAGGTTCACCGGTTAGAGGCTTCCCCTCACCTTTGTGACCCTTTTCTCTCATCACCATCTCACCATACCCAGGTTCCCTCCCCCAGCAGTCAGGATCATAGCCAAGTCCAAGGCTGTTGCCACATGTCCATCCTGTGGGAAGTGCTAAGCAAAAGCTGTGTGCAGAGATCCCTGTCCCAGCCCCAGCCCACTAGGAAGAGGTGATTCCACAGGGTGATCCTTGCGATCCTAGCCCCATCTTCCTCTTGAGTGTCCACTGGCCCATCATGATTCCGGCCGGGGTGAAGGAGCAGGATGGAGGTAGCTGTCCGACATGATGATGTCGCTGGTGAGTTGCTGCTCCAGAAACTCGGAGGTCTCCTCAGCTATCTGGCCTGGAATTCGAAAGTCAACTGCAGGGGGCTCCTGCTTGGGACTGGGGAGGGGTCGGGAAACCCAGGACTCAGTGGCACAGCCAGTCCCTTGAAGGAACTGCAGAAAGTTCTCCTCAATCGAACCCTCTCGGCTAGGCAACCTCAGTTCCTCCTCTGGAGCTGCCTTGAAGAAGCAGACAAACTGTTTGCTGAGCTCGCCCCGGATCTGCCGGTTGAGGCATCCATAGAAGAAGGGGTTGGAAGTGAAGCAGAAGTAGCCGATCCAGGTGACCACACTCTCCACCTGTCCAGTTGAAATGGGCTGAGCGCTCAGGGCAACATAGAGGTGGAAAGAGAAGTAGGGCAACCAGCAGAGCAGGAACTGACCTCCCACAGCCAGGAGGATCACTGCTGCCTTCCCGCCCCCAAACGTCCGGTGCGGGGTGGTCTGGGGGGCTCCCAAGCTGGTGACCATAGTGGACCGGCTGCTGAGAGACTCTGAGCGTTGGCGAGGGGTCTCCATCCACGTGGGCAGAGGCCCGTGCTGCATGGCTGCCACA